ATTGTGCTCTAGTCCACACAAGTGGCGGAAACTGCACTTGAGAGGTGGAGTAAGAAGCTTCCCTCAGATTGACAAATACTGGCCTTCAACACCAGACCCCGGATGATCAAGAGAAAGCAGTCACCGGTTTGACAGTGAATCCAGTAAGTCTCAGTTCCCAAGCAGACCGCTGCGGAGCACTATCAACTGTTGAAGGAGCAGCGACTTTCCTAGTACTTACTGAAACCGGAACTTCATCCTGTGCCCATTCTACTAGATAAGATGAAACGGATCAAAGTTCATTGTCAGCAATTCACCAAAAATGATTATTTGCCGGCCTCATAAGGATCAGTAGACGCTCGCAGCCTTCATTTGCACCAAAGGATGCGCTTCTATTATACGAAGCACTCTCCTGTACGTATTTCAATGCTCACGGCCACTTCAACAAATTATCAGAGCTTCAATCTCGCCAAGCTATGATGTCTGGGGACCTGCTAAGGATAACTCGGTCTGCCTTTCCGCTTCGTGTGCTACGAAAAACAGTCCATCAGGGACCTCGAAGGAATCCGCGTCGTAACACATCACAAAACATTATCCGACATCAAGATCAATGATTGGTCGTTTCTAGAGGAACAACCCCCTGATGTCGCTTGAGGATAGTTCGTCAGCCCGTTCAACACTTTCGTAGCAACCGTGTTAGAGACTAAGATCTTTAGCTCATAATGGTAATGTCCTTTTGGGGGAGCAGAAGGGGGAAACGAATGGCCCTTAGAGATTCACATTAGAAAGCGTGCGAATCCGATTCAAACGCTGGAAACTAGCATGCTTACCTAACTGAGCGAAACCACTGTGTCAAACCTGCCTGCGAAGACAAATTGAAGCAGCAACAGGATTTGGCGGCGAAGTTCAGTGGCGATCCTACGCCACTTTACAGGCATGTTAACAAACTTCGTAAAGTACAGCGTGTCATCCCTCCTCTTAACACCACCTGTGGGTAAGCGAGAACTGACCAAGAAGCAGCTTATTCTCTTACAAATCAGTTGGCTTGTACTTTCCGGAATGCATCGCCCTCCCATATCATTCTAACATATGTTACATCAACGTCAAGACTTAATCACTTCTCCTTCACAGCGGCAGATTTGCTGAAACAACTGATGTCACTACGCGAGTATACTTCATCTGGTCCGGATAGGGTACGCTTAAATCATTAATGATAGCTACCACGAGCTTTGCTGAACCATTATCACAGTTTTTGAAGCGCTTTCTCAACAAGATGCAGATCCTAAAAGTTTGGAAGCGTGGAATAGTCACCCTATTTACAAGGGAGCGACCGTGCATTGCTCGCATACTACCGCCCGATTATTATTTCCGTTTGCTTGTTGAAACCAACCCGTTGCAGAAGATCTCATGGGGTATTTAGAAAAGTGCACTATCATCGTGCAGGAGGAGCATGGGTTCCGCCAAAACTGCTTATGTATTAAGAATCTTTTGTTAGCTCTTGCTAACTGGACTGAATCCGTCAACGCTGGAGAAAGAGCTGAGGCCGCTTACCTTGATTTAGCAGAGGTATTCGATCGTTTTGATCATTGGATTCTTCATCAAAATGTTTGGAGCTACGGTATCAGTGACTCTATGCTGAGCCAAATTCATGTAGTCCTACTCTAACAATGCGTGAATGTGCGGGTTCGTAACATTCTGTTAAACTCGATGGATATTCACTGAGACATTCCTCATGGCTCGGTGCTGAGGCTACGGTTATTTTTCGTGTGCAAATACGATCTTGCGGGAATGTTGACGTCGAACATTCCACTCTTTGCTAACGACCTTAAGATTTGATAGGCAATTAAAAGAGTAGACTAACAAACAGCACTGCAAGGTGGTCGACCCAAAACATGCTTGAGTTCAACTCTGTCAAATGCAAAAGAATGAGCATACGCCACCAGATCACCTACCAATATCGGCTGGGAGAACACGTATTGCAGTGCACTTCTTATGAGAGCGATCCTGGTGCGCTCGTGCAAGTCGATCTCGTGTGCTCAGAGTAGACCGAGATGGCAGTTAAAATAGCCAGTCAACACTTATGCTACTGCAGTGGGCGTATGGCCGGTTTGATCCTACCATTTTTACGCAAATGCTCAAAACTTTCGTGGAACAACACGTTGAATACGCTATTCTGGTGTGCCACCCCTGTCAAAAACACTACCTCACTGCTTTTGAGAAGCCACAATGGAGGGCGACAGGATATGCTAAGGGAACGCTCAACCTCGCTTACCAGTAGTGACTGCATTCCTTAGTTTTTAGTGAACAACACGGTCTTCTGCGAGGTGATCGCATAATGATGTATCAGATCCTTGAGGATTCTAATCACCCATGTCGACGATTATTGAAACAGCCACACCTCTTTGAGAGGTCACCATATGAAGTTAGCGATAAAGTATAACCGGTTGTAGTGCCACCGGAACTTTTCTCATTTCTTGTATCCTAGCATGGGAACTTACTTCCGTCTTTATATCGGCCGTGCAGTTGTCACTGAACATCGTTTTTACAATATCGCTATGGATGCATTAGTTATCTCAGAATGTTTCAACATTGACATTTGTTAAGCTGTTTTCAAGGTCGCCGCTGCTGTGTTTCGCGTAATTTTTGAGCACAATTCGATACTGCGCAAGTGAAGATGGATGGTCCCGATTGAAAAGCTAGCTTACAACGCTGGATTTATGTTGTTTTGTCCGGAACTGTTTACTTGTTGCCAGTTTACCCTGATCGTTTATTGGAATGACACTACTACGCAATGTCCCTTTATCCATTCCTACAAATTTAGTTCTGAGAACGCAACATTAAATCGTCCGTTGTCGATATGGTAAAGTGCTGAAAATTTTCCAATATGGATAAATTTAGCTTATTTGGGCTTGACTTGCTTTTGCCATATTTGCTCCTACATTGTCCGTAGGAGCATTGCATCACCTGCGCTACTGGGACAGCGAACCGCAAGATGCTTATATGCCTTATTTGTTACAATTACAACACTGCGTGTCCTTGTTATTTGTTTTGATACGGACAATTTTGACCTCCCTATTTACCTACGGAAAGTGGTTAAGTGTTTGCTTTAAATCCGGGACAAACCCATTGTTCTATTTTCAATTCCACCTACTACAGCAGCTTAGAACCGACAGAAAATATTCCCATCAGTTAGTCGGCCATAATATGTATAATTTAGTTGTTCGTACACCCACGCTAGTTTTTCAAGATTACTATCTCCTCCAGATTAAAAATAGTCCGTTTTAGGCCATGGATATTCGTCATATTCGTGCCGCGCTCTTGTGGTACTTGCGAACGGTTTTACTCACGCTGATATCAACCCTAATCGTTTTAACTGAAAATAATGGCCATTAGAATTTAACCAAAATAGCAGATAAGTTCACTATATTACTTGTGAGTGGAAGGATTTTGGTGAGTATTTTTGTTCGTTTCAACGACGAACATAAATGCTATGTCGATTCATAGCTGCTGTAATTGGGAAGTCCTGAAGCCGGAAGGCCAACCGCTGTCAGCGGCATGGCAGGTGCCTGCTTGGCAGTGGAGGATGGGTCGGACTATATCGTAGTATTGCGACGAACAAAAATAAGTTTATTGTATCTGCATTCTACACGTTTTCAAATAAGTATAAATGGAAAGTATATACTTATTCCATCTAAGGTTGCATAATTGCATTGCAAGAGCAGCAAAGCTATCCGCTGCCAGTGTTGCTAATGCTTTCTGTTTCTAAACTCTACGAACCGAGCAGTGCTTTGTTTGGAAGGCAAATTGTCTTCTAACCAAAGTCCACAAATGAAAATTTACTCGAATCTAGGTTGTCACTGTCGCTCTAATTGGGCCACGCTGCTTTGTTTTTTCTGTCATTCCATTTGTGTGGTTGGGAGGCGAAGATGCTCATTCAGTTGAGACAGGAAGGCCTACATTGCGAACGCATGTGTTGTTTGGTCACCGCCAGGTAACAACACTACTGAACTGACACTCGACAGCTGCAGTCGTAGAAGTGGGTAAATTGTGTACATTTTCATATGCCCTGTGATTTAAGTAAGGATCTGATCGCTTCTTCGTTTTTCTTTGACCTTTTCCTAGAGTTGACTGTCTGGGACACTTTTACCAGTTCTCCGTCGTTGTTTGCAAATTAGCCAAGACAGCAGTAGGACCAAATAGACTTAAGAAATGAAAGATTTGCTTACGTTATCCTGTAGTCCCTTTGTAGGAGGTAACCGAATTGTCTGTGTAGAAACAGAATAATCATCTATGGGTGAAAATTGCAATTCCTTATTTGTGCGGCTCCTATTTCAGGATTTCGAGTTGATTGTGCTTTAACGGTTCATGCCTATCCAGCTTACCTGGTCCACCTTCAGACCTCTAAGCGACCGACATAACAATATGGAGTACAACTAGCTTTGATGTTACCGTCGACTAGGGAACATAAAATCGGAGTACCGGTGTTGAAAATCCTTTAACTTCGGAGATGATGGTCTAAGTAGAAACCTTTTATCAGTGAGATTTACCGCGAAGAGTGGAATATTTCATCCAATGCTCAAATGTTAGGTCAAACTAATGGTCGCGCTTCGGCGTATTCTCACCGTTCCCCGATCAATTAGCACCTTGACCGATTTTTCATTTCAGTGCTTTCCTGCTATAAACTGATTTCTTCACCAAAACTATCGCAGAAGCAAAAGCAGGTTTGAAGTGTGCAAGACAGAGGCAACTCATCGCTAACTCAATGGCATGCAGTAGAGAAGTGCAGGAATTTGGCCTCGGTTATCGTTGCGGTCTGCTCAAGTTGAATTTCCAGTTCACATGTTACCAAGTGTTCCCGAAAGGATGAAACGCGCGTACAGTGGTTTTCCGGGCGTGTAGCGGCTGTCTGAATGAGTCTAGACGTGACGGATTTCTACCCATACCATTCAACTCCCCTACTACTCTTCTGTTACCTATATTTCTCCATCAGATAAACACTGTGTAACGCGTTTTTGTTCACAATGCCACTGTTGCGTGGTGAGTGCGTTCAACAGCCGTTTATACTTGCTAAGTGCAACCATTTGCGCGCAGCCATGCTGCTTGTCTCAAGCCGCTTCCGCTTGTTGAGCTCGGTAAAACACTGTCAGCAAAATGAAACATCAACTCCCAACAAGACCGCCTGTATCCGCTAGATAAAATGCCTTCCATTGCTCAACGATATACAAAACATTGTGTCTTGAAACGTTCAGCCTTATGTTGCGCAAATATAATCCTCAATTATTTATTGAATATCGAAATTCAACCCAACTCTGGGGATCAATTTTTATTCACACGTTAATCTCCACATAATTCGTAATGGATTTCTAGACATCGTTACACACGGCTCCGTGGTGTAACGGTACAGGTAACAGGCTTTGCCATCTATGTCCCCGGTTTGCGTCCAAGTTCACTCATCTCCACAAAATAGCTTGCCTCTCCACGTCTTATGAATATTTTTCATCACATTGTGGATTTCATTTTTCCTTCTATAATAGCCTCCAGGGCTATATACTTCAACGGCATCAGTATTACAGTCCATAATCTAGCTCCTCAGAAATCAACGTAAGATATAACACAATGCTTCACCGCTTAAGGGGGCGCACATCTAGCAATTTGGAGATAAATACTGGAGCACTGCGCTGAAAATGTTAGCCGTAACCGCTGTAGACGCAGCATCATTTACTGAAATAGGTTTTCTCGTGCATAGCTGATCGTGGAGTTTAATTATTAGCCCTTTTCGGTCTTCTTCAGCTCTATCCAGATAACTGATATGCGCGCCATCAATGGACGTATCGATGATTGTATTCCCGCATAATGATCTACACATTTATGCATTTTAAACACATGAATCTTTGTGTAGGTCCACCCAGTGCGTTGTACACGCTACTGTAAATGTTAGATACTTATAATAGATTGTGACTTTTATTTACTCCATAGGGATCTGGCTAATATTATTCATAATTCTGCTGGGTCAAGTTCAGTGCATATTTTTATTGCAACGCTTCACCTGACAAGTTTATTGACCACCATCATGATATTTCAAATGCTTTGCAGCTTTTCCTCGGAACAAGTTCTCCTGGAATATTTTGCCAGTATAGGCCGAAATATGAAACAGAATTTTATTCTTTCGATTGTGACTGCATCAAGGAAAAAGGCGGCTACCAATTGCCACTGGTGTGACACAAGGACAAATCCTTGTAACAAAATTTGTAGTTATCCGCAGTTATATACACTGCCGATTATGACTGCCACAAATCACGCAATCTAGCTCCGCGGAGCACTTGATTTGTTTATTCTGGACAGTATTTGGCCCAATCGTGCGTAAAGTGATAAGACCTCTTCAAGAAGGCGACACCTTGATTTATCGAGAATTGGATGATTCGGCCTCTTTTATATTTATTAAGTAGACCAAAACCTAACTGCTTTCAGTGATAATAGAATGCCGAGTAACATGACTGGGTTTGACCTAAAAACCGCAGTCAAAAAACCGAATGTAAGTTGCTTCATTCGGCTATCTTATGGACAGTGTCGCTATTTCTTCTTCTCCAACTGTTTAACCTGAATCAATGGTGTGGGATTTATGCCACTCGGATAGAAAAATTAATGATCGTATTTCTCACAGCGTATTTCTTCGGAGCATGTAAATTTGACGTTCTATGTGACAAGCAACGTATGTAGTGAGGTTAAACGCTTGAGCGTGGGATTCTGTTGATACATAGTTGTCTCTGACCACGTGTCCATCCCTGAATCCGAGCAGAAACTTAACTCGATCAAATAGTTATCGGCACGCTATGGAAGGAAATCAGCTAGCCATGTCAAATTTGTTACTTTTCAGCACAATCTCCAAAAACTTGAACTTCTTTAGTTCAGTGGCTTTAAAGCCTTGCTCTCCGTGTATGGAAGAAGGTTGTAGACTGTTCCTGTAAAAATAGCTCTAAAGCCCTGTTCAGCTTAATAGTTTTAGCAAATATGCGACCCAGGAGGCCAGAGTTCAGTTCGGGGAAGAAATACATTCTGATAGGGCTGTATCCAGAGAACCAGCTGAGTGTAGCAGCAATCCAAATCCACAACTGGCAGCTCCTGACACGGCGACTCAGAAAGTGTGCACAAGTGCGTTGTAATGCAAAAGCAGAACATCTGCTGCGCTCTCCCCTCTCGGACTTTCTTTGCTTGTCTGTTTCAGTTGGCGCAATTCCGAAGCACAAAACTTGTCGGTTATGGTCTGACTCTGGTGCGAGAAGTCTATCATAGATACGGCTTCACTGTCTCAGGGGACAGTGGCCCTCAATTTTCCCGCAGAAGCCACTTGATTGAATGACTTTTTGTGGACAGCCATTGTGTTTTAATCAGTTAATTTGAAGCTTTGACTCTGGTACAAGGTGATGAACCTCAGTTATATTCTTTGAAAAAATGTGTGGGATTTATGTCTAAGCTTGTCAAAATTTGTTGTAAATTTCCCAACCTGTGCACCTTCTGAGCAGGCGTCAACATTATTAACATCCATCTTACAATCAGCATTCTCATTCCTATAGGTTCGTTAAAACATTGTACGCTCAGATATAACTGTTGCTTATAGTCAAATCTCTGAGAAATAGATAACGTTCTATGTTTCAGTGCCATTCGGTGAATTGCTTCCATTTGATCCGCACACATCAACGGTTTTGGGCGGCCAAACAGTGCGTCAACTTCAACGCTCTCCCTGTGCGTCTTTATATTTCCGGCCTATTTTTAACGGCGGTATATGAAGGAGAGCCCTCGTCAAATGTCTCAGCCATATCATAATGCATTTCTTTTAGCGTCATACATATTTTCTACAGGTATTTGATCAAAGCTCGGCATGTAAATTTGTTCATTTTTATAAGTTGGGCAACATAGGTCAGTTTTCTTTGAATCAGCACCTGTAAATATACAAAGATTGAAAATTGAGACGACGCTAATTCTTTCATGAGATAATACTTTATAAAATATGCATGCTTTTCATTCAGTTAATTCCCTTCGTCATCAGGCCAAGAACTTTCCATCCACCAATATAGTAGAGTTGTCGCCTTGACTTTTGCAAATTTTAGCTTCTTTAAAGTGAAAAGCAATGACGCTGTTGGTCTAGGGCAAACAATCACAGTCTTCAGTTATTCTTAGTGTTTCAGAAGGACTAAGTCTCCGGTAGAAGTTTGTCAAATAGATCTAGCTCCAAATCTAACCATGGAAGTCACTAAAATAAGACAGGTTGACCACCGTATCGGCATCACGGTACACTAACTGAAGGTGAACGACACGCTTCCGCTATTGTGCAGCAATATAAGAAACAGCAGCATTTTTGTTATTGTGCGCACACCATGGTTTCCTAACTTTTTGCTGTTTTTAATTGTTAAGCATTAACTATTCAAATCTAAACAGTTATAGACACAGATCATCCTCCGGTTTCGATTACAAGCCATATACTGAGTTGTTTCCAGCCATCGGCACTCCTCGTCCTTTGGTCCCCAACTAGGTAGACCTGTGGATCCAAGAGCGACTTGAAGTGATGCCAAGGATTATATTTGCTGTCGCCAGGCGGATGTTGACCACCACGTGGTCTCTTCCAGTTGAGTCCTGCACGAGCAAACAGACGCCATAGGGCAAGTGCTCAGCTGTCATACGCAGGACACGATCGTAGCCATCTTAACTGGCGCAGCAAAACTAGCTTACTAAAGGGAATTCTCGCATTCCCTAATACACGACGTCTGACTTCACCGTTACAAATGTGTTGCTGCCACCATACATGAGCAATCTTCCTCAAGCACCCGTTGTCGAAGGCAGAGAGCCGGCGCATATTGTCTACGAGAACTGGTCATGACTCGCTTCCATATAGTAACACCAACCGAACGGTGGCATTGTAAACACGACGCTTTACCAAGAGGGAGATATCCCGGCGACGCCACAATTGATGCAGGCTGACAAACGCCGACTGAGTTTAGGCGGTGCGAAGAGATTCTCCCCTTCTAATGGTACCACGAGCAGACACACAGTTGCCAAGGTAGACAAAGCTATCCACTCGTTCAAGCTGTATAACTTCAATATTGAGCACTGGATCAGTAGGGATCCAATCCTGAAGCAGCACCTTACACTTTGACGGGTTAAAGCACATTCAGTATCCGGATGCCTCAATCGCCAAGCGGTCTGGAATGGTTTGCATGCCCTGTGTCTCCTCACCAGGGGGATATCATCGGAATAATCTAAGTCGGTTGCTCGCTGGCTTGGTAATAGCTGCATGCCAAAATTTTGGCAACCGTCTAGAGCTCACGATAGGATGTCTTCAATGGCAAAATTGAAGAAAAGGGGGACATGGGGCAGCCTTTTCGTACACCGCTAATGAAAACGAAGGACAGTGATAGCCTGCCATACGCCGTCACTCTGTCAGAAATGTGAAAATACAATGCGTGTAGGGTGGCAGTGTAATTTCCCGGCAAACCTTTCCTTAGCAAACAACGCCATAATGCCGGTCGATCAACCGAGTAAAATGCGGCCCGGATGGCCAGGAATTCAACGATGGTAGGCCTATGGTATAGGTGGTGATGTTCCATGATTTGACAGTATGAATATCTGATCCACCCACCCGAGGCCAGGTCGGAAGCCAGCTTGTTCTTCCCGGTACTGCGCTTCGAGAATGGTAGATAGTCTACGGAGTAGAATGGATGCCAATAGTTTGGAGGCAACGGAAATGAGGCTGATCTTCCAGTGAGTAGTACACGAAGTTCGAGCACCCTTCGTAAAAACGAGGTCACTAACTGACTCGCCCCAGCAAGGAGGCACCTTATCTTCATACCACATTTTGGAGAACAATGAGCTTAACTGGCTAATAATAACTGATCCTCCATGTTGGAATACCTCCGGAGTAAGTCCTTCTGAGTCGCGGCCTTGAAGCGTCTTAAGTGTCTAATCGCAAGACAAACTTCCGCTTCGCTGGGTGGATCAATTGTGCCGACCCAGGCAGGCAGCTGGGTTTCAGGGGATATAAGGGG